GTACTCCGTAATTACATCTTACAAATTTTTACAACAATTGCTCTTTTTTACAACAATTGCTCTTTTCTTTGGACCAAAATTTGTTTAGTTTCAGGGCAGTACCGCATAGATGCATAACACGCTAAAGGAACCCCTCACTGCCATGAAAAAGTTAATACGAAGGGGCGCAATCTCAAAATGTACGGGTAAGCTTGGTCTGCCGGTTGGATACGACATTACTGCCTTCCGGGCAGCAGCAAAAAGGGGATGGATTACGGAGCAGATTAGTGTGTGTATGCGTTGGACAGCATGCGCATCTGCCTACGGGTAAGTTTTTTTTTTTTTTTTAAAAAAAAAAAATTATTAATAATAAAAATAGAGACGTCGTCTTTCGCCTCTGTAATTGCCGGGCTATCTGTGATCTCTGGGTGCAAATACTGGCAAGCAACGGCGACACAACGTCATTTAGGCATTTTTCGTTGCGGCGCTGTTTCTTGTCTGTCGCAGCTGCTCTACGAGAACTAATCACAACAGCTTCGTAACCTTTTGCGATGCAAGGACAAGGACATGCAACCCATCATCACTCTTTCCCGGCCCCGCTCCTGCCTTTGCCGTCCTTTGCTGCGTTCGCTGGGGGATCACGTTTACGGAGAGAAAGAGCAAACCAAGACGAGAGTAATTACTACACAGTAGATGCTCCTAGACATGGGACACCGTCCCGATACGGAAATATACGAGGGGAAAGAAATTGAGACGGAGCAAGAGCGAGAGAGGCTCAGAGGGAAGCTGCGTGAGAAGGAAGCAACCAAAAACAAGAAAAAACAAGGCGACCTGTTGGAGACCACACAGCCGTTTAACCTCATATCCAGGTCGTCAATGTTCTTGTCCCTGGCCAGACCCTTCGGCTGTCTATGTAAAGAATAAGGAATGGGACAATAGACAGCCGCTGTTCCTGGTCCCTTTTAGGCTTTTCATTGTCTTGTGGCAGAGAGAAGCGCTTCCCGAGCCTCCCTTTTGGCCCCTTTTTCGTTCGAAGCGTTCTTTCCCTGTCTACGACGTAACTGAGCTCCTCGATTCTCCACAGGCCACCGGTCTCCGCTGCCCCAAGCTTGACGGGGCCTGTCTTTTGTTTCTTCCGCCTGCCTCCCTTCCACATCTTTTTACTCCTTATCTCTTTCGCGTTTCTTGTTTCTTCTTCTCTCTTTTCTTTTCGTGTTCCTCTCTCCATCCGCTCGTTTCCCCCCTTCGCTTCTTCCGATCGTCCAGCCGAGAGAGAGAGCGCAAATTTGTTTGGGCCGTTGTTATTTTTTTGTGTTGCCCTTTTTTTCGTCCTTCGCTTGGCCTTGTGGTTCCCCTTTTTCGTTTCCTTTTTGTTTTCGTCCTCTGCTCGTCATTTATATTCGGGTTTTTTTATTTATTCCTAATTGCGCATCTTCGACCTGTTTTTGTCGTGGATCGTTTATCGCAGCCGGCCTTTTCGATAGGACCGTACCACCACGCGGCCGACCACGTCGTCATCGCTTGCACACGCACCACGCCCAGAAGAGAAAAACTCAAATGCACGCAATCACACAGACACAACCAGACCAGGCAAGCCTTTTGATAACGACCTTGTCTTACAAACTACGCCAGAGCAAATCGTCCAACGTCACCTGCCAACGTCCCAGCTTCCAAGCGTCTCTGTGGCTCTCATCTTGCCGGCCCAAAAGCCAATAAACCCACCCACGCCTTGGACGATCTCTGCGGTCGACCACCACATCACCTCCCCCGACGCCAGTTCCATTCCATCAAACGGCTGCAATCTCACAGTCCTTTCAGAGTTAGTGTGTCCTTCAACGACCCAGGCAGATCCCTGCCGACCACACACTCGTTCGTTCCCCACCGGAAACACGACACACGGACGCCATCGACTTTTGTCCGCAAAAGCTTCCTTCAGCTCTTTCAACTGTCATTGCCCTTTTTGGTATTTGCGCATTTCGACGTTCGACCACACTTCCCGAACCGGACGATCGCACCGGCCTTATTATCGTCGCCGCCCGGTCGATATCAGCCTCACTACTTCGATTTCGCTACCTCGATTAGCACGCCTCCTTTCCCCCCTGCTTCGTCGCCGCCACGACATCCCCGTCAGTCTCGTTGCGGCTCCCTCGAGCGACGCGTCTTTGCTCGACCGCGTCTCGCCGCCACCGTCGGCCGTTTGCGTTCATCGATATCACCGTACGTCCTGCCAAGGTAAAGCACTGCACAATAGATCATCAAGAAAGCAGCGAGGCCAGGCTGCAGAAACAAAACGAAGAGGCACCGCAGAACGACGAAGGGCCGTAAGGTTCGTGTCTGTATCGCCGACGAAGAAAGTGGCAGAGGAGCAAAATTGTTAAAATACAGATTACCAAGCTGCCCACTGCTGCCTCTGCGCTGTTGTGCGCCATCAGGTCCTTCTTTTGAAATTGCTTCTGTCTGCGCTGCGCCCTGCATACCTACACTTTTTTCGTTTCTTTTTCGTGCCCTTGTCATCCTTGCAATTTACACTTTCTTTTCTGCATACATCGTCCGCTTGTGCGTTTTCGCCAGTCTCACTTGGGCTGCAAAAGGCTTCAGGCGCAAACCAAGGGGCCCGGCTACCCCGGGGTCCGACCTAGCTTGGTGTGCATTTGTTTTTACTCTTGTGGCACACGTCGATGACCCCCATCATATCCAATTGCACCGCCCTTCATCAATCGCCTATTGCCCTAACCCTTTCGCGACGTACACTCTTCACCACACGCCCTCCCCTTCACCGAACAAATGGGGCGCTTGATCGCTAGTGATTTGTCCTCCCTTTATGTTCAAAGCGCGAGCATGAACAAGAAGAGAAAGGCAGAACAATGCCATTGAGTCCGTTTGATAGCAGCATTGTGTCCACTCGCAAGCACCCCTTCTCTCACTTCCTCTCCCTCCCCATTCTGCATCTGCTTTCGCTTCTCGTTGCCTTATCCTATCTCCTGCCTCCCACTGTGCACACTTTACTCTCTCTTTGATCGACACCCTAAAAGAGACTATCAATGGCTACATCGTACACAATCACCACTCCAAGTTCAGGAAGCCACAGACAGGCACCGCTTGCTGAACCAGGCCAAGTCCAACCGCGTTGAAAAACAAGCGTAGGGAAATCGCCGCCAGCGCCGAGCATTTCCTCACCCGGCTTTCCCACACCCCTGCCGCCCGCTCTCTTGCTGGTTTTCCAGAGGCGAGTTCGATCCTTCATCCCAGTTAGCTCGGCCGGGCTGGGTCTGTTGGCAGGAGGGCCTTTGCGGGTGGCGCCCACTCCCTCCCCTTTCCACTCTCCACCATCAATTCTCGAACACCGGTCCTTTGCAGACAGGGCGCTATCATGTTCTTCGTTTCCTGTTCCTCTTTTGTTGCATCTTGGTGCTGTGGCCTTCCCCCCGGCCGCGCTTTCTGATCCTTCTGATCTTGAGATACTTTCTTGATGCCTTTAAACTTTTTTGTGACATCGATCCCGCAGTCTCTTTGTCCACTGCAATACTGACACAGTGGTTAACAGGACATACCGAACGCAACTGACCGATACGGCCCAGGGGAAAGGCGCGACACATTCGGCGAGTTCCATTGTCGAGAGCATTGGCCGCCTGAGGTCGATCTCGTTCGTGGCTGTTCGCTGTCACTTTCAGCATCCACTGTCGCAGCCTGATCTGGGCCC